GTTGGGCAAGTGTTCTGTGCAAATTTAATGGGCTTTTTTTTTTGTTCTTTTTTTCATTATCAAGCTTGGATTTTTATTTTATATTATTTTTGGGGTTCTTCTTGGGCATTGGGAATACGAGGAGGATGTCAGCAGTTCTATCAGTATTTAATGTGTTTTTATTTGAAAGATAAAATATATAATAAGAAATGAAATATTCTCTCAAAATGGACACTTTGCCCTTCATTTTGCATCAAGTTTGAGGCCAACCGAATGAAAATGGTTGAAGCTTTAATTTTTTTTAAATATTAAAATATCAATGTGGATGGATGTTTTTAAAAATTATAAAAAATATTTAATTAATAAATAGGTATTTCACTATTTTTATATTACACTATGGTAAAATCGATTTTTGACATATGTTGTTTAGTTCATTTTTTAAAAACATATCATGACGGTAGAGTGTAAATTTAGATTTTACCCGTCTTATATTCAAGACATTAACCCACCTACATAGTGTACTAAAAATATTAATATCTTCTTCCAACTTTCATCTTATTCCATGTAATATTATTTAAAAAGTATTTATTTCTTTTATTTTTGTTGTTAAGGTATTTATGTTTTATTTCACTTCACAACATCCTTTTTTATAAATAATGTTAAATGAAAAAAAAAAGGAGTTGACTCCAATAATATCTATAAGAACTATAATTGAATGTGAGGGAATTTTTTTTTTCAAATCACGTAAATGCGTCAAAATCATTTAATATCATCACGTCATAAATCGACAGTGAGAATTTTTTCTTTTTGAACCAAAATAGTGAAAAACCACTCAACTATATTTAAGTTGACGTGCAAATACCTTATTAAACTCTACTTAAATTATAAATTGGAGTTATAAGAGTGTGATGTTTGCAATTTCCTTTAATACGACGACATGTGGCAATGGGAAGAAAATCCCTATGGATATAGGATCAACAGAGAGAGTGACGCTCACGGGCATATAGACCAGTACGCGACACACCTTGGGTGCAAGGCATTTGCAATGGATCGAGGCGACAGGCGACGGGGATGCTACCACGCACCAGAAATGTCCTCTAACGACCCGTCAGAGCTCGTATACAAATGGTTCCCACTACGCCTCACACCAGGCATCCTCTCTGGTCAACTTCACTACCTACAAAAGGAGATAGGATACCACGACCATGGCTAAGTGAAAAATCTGTCACTAACTATTCAAGGTGTTTTACCTTTTTCCTCCAATCTTTTGGTTACTAACATGACCGTTGGAGGACATTAGGCAAGACACCTCACCAATGTCGATGTCTGTTGTTGCACATTAACTTATTCAATGGTTCTCGATCAAATAACACGTGGACTAATTGATTTTCGACATCAACAATATATTAAAAAAATATATTCTTATAGGGAAAGAAAACCTCCGAGTCACGAAGACTTCAAACAAGAACAAATTCCTTCCATGATGTGTGAAGTGAAGAAGATAGAAGTCGAGTAAGTGGAAGCAGTCCAAATGCGATAGCTCCAAAAAAAAAAAGGTAATATATAAAATACATATATCGAATGTAACATTGACACCCATTGTTCTCTTGAGAATTACATGATTACCCTAAATAAATTAATGGTTATTTGCCACTAACCAATGGTTTATTGGGTAGAACAAATAAGCAACCATAGAATTATAAATTAAAAAAAAAAGGTGGATTCCAATTGGGTAAACCTTTACATTGTCACACGCATTAATTATATTACAATACACATAATAAATTAGACTATGGTACGAGATTGAGAAATAAAAATGTAAGTGGATTGTGTCCATTGTCATTGGAGGAGGACGTGACAAATGTACCAAATCTTAACCTTATATTAATAAAAATGTAAACATGAAATTATATTATTAAAAGAAAAAATAAATATAAATAAAAGACATAGATGCAAAGTGAAAAAGCACTTTAATTCCATCATATTATTAAATTAAGGTTGGTGGCATTATTTGTTGTGCATCATCATCAGAGGATTGAAAGCCACGTTTGGAGTTATTTGCCACGTTCATGAATCAAATTATTTTCCTTTGTTTCTTCCATTTGGAGAATGATTTATAGATGTGAAATTTTAGATTTTATTTGGTAATGTTTTTGTTTTTGTTTTTTATTTTATTTTATTTATTTGTTTGTTTTCCTTTGGGAAAATTTGAAATTATGCAAGATGTCTACTTCTTGTTTTTTTTTTAAAAAGAAAATTTGAAATTATGTTGGGTATTTAATTATTTCTCGTTTCTTAATTGAGAGAGATAAAATGTATTTTGCACCTTTTTTTTATCTGAGTTTTTAAATTATAAGAATGAATAGCTTTGCTAAAATGATTTTTCTAAATGAAATATTCAAAGTTATTATATTTAATCAGAAAATGAATATAAAAACAAATGCTTGTTTGATAAATTAATTTATTTTATTAAAATTGTTCATAAAAGATAATAAATTAAGTTTTTTGGTGAACATTTGTTTTTTTTTTTCATTTCTAAATTTTAGCCAATTTGAAATAAAATAGATTTTTAGATGTTTTTTATTTCTTCTTAGTACGGGGTGAGAATTTGAATACCCAATATTTCAGTCGGAAATAGGTGTCTTAACAACCGTCGCCATATTCTTTTTATATATAAATTGGGCAATGATCATTAAAACAATATTTGAGAGGAAAGATTTGAACTCACGACTTCCTAGTTATATGTCGTACTAGGCTAAGAAAATCTTCTCCCTTAACATTTAAATAATTCAACATAAATAATTTCCTGTTGTATCAAAAAAATTATTAATAATAATTCAACATAAATATAGTCCATCAAAGTTTCCACTTTATAGACGACTGTTGTTATCATAATTTCTTAACTTCATTAAATCTATTTCCAACCAAATATCATGTGATTATTTTATTAACACCTTGGCTAGTTTAATGTTATAAACTATCAATTTAACCAACAAATTTATATTATAATCATTTTCATTTTTCTTGCAACATATATTATGATCAATTTGAAAGTAAGCTACTCTAATAGCTACTATAATCTCTCTACCACATTTAAAATTGTTGTCATTCACATTAAAATCAAAACATACTTTACTCTTTGATACAATCCATCAATACTAATTATAGAGATTGTTTACTCTCTAAAATTACTTTAAAATTTTAATTACGATAAATTGCAAATGAATATAAATGATATAATTGTTTCATGGAGTCCATAATTTTCAAACGAATACTAACTAAATTATTTTTAAATTAGTAGGACACTTTGTGAAAACAAAAAGAAAAAAACACTTTTACATTTTTACACTTGCCTTTTATGCTAAAAAGGAGAAAAAAAAAACCAATGAAACTTGATTGTAAAATTGTTTGTGAAGCAAACTTACCTTTAATAATAGCGACGAAATGTCTTATAACAAAACAGTGGCTACACATCGATATTAAAATTGCGATCTAAAAAAGAAAAAGATTTGTTTTAAAGATCGAACCATCTAGAAAAACAATACAGTGTGAAGACAAGAACATCTTTCAAAAGTAAATATCAAAACATGCATGCAGCTCATCAATAAAAGTATCAATACAACATTTCCTAAAGTTTGAAAGTTTAAATCTTCATTCCCACAATTTATTTATTATTATTATTTTTTTTAGTTTAACAATACATCGGATAGTAATTTAAATATCTAACTTTATCGTCAAAGATATATGTCTTAATTAGAAATATGCTCGAGTCTATATGTACTTACTTATCAATCATATTACAAACTCAGAAGGGTAGAAAGGTAAAATTAATATATATATTATTGGCCTAGAAAAATGGGAAATTTAAAAACCGAAGAAAGAAACCCACATTTGAGGGAAAAAAGAATCACATACTAAATGTAGGGTTAGAAAGATAGGTATGGTAGTTTTGAAATGATCCAAAAGGGGTTAAAAGGAATAAATAATTCCAAAAATGATGAAACAATATGGAACGAGAAGGGTAGATGTTTGAGACTAGCAGATAGGGAGAGATTTAGAGATGTCACATTCAAATCACTATTTATAATATTGTCAACATAAACACCATCTTGCTGATGATCTATAATTTAGACGGTCAAGGCATTAGTAATATCTCTTAAAAACTTCAAGGGTTGAATCTTCTCAACTCTGTTTTTTCTATTTCATGATCACCAATAATATAGGAGTAAACCTGTAAATTTTGAAAATTTTGGTACATCCATACATAAGAATCATGTGGTACAGTCATGTCCATCCACATACATAACTTCCCGCCCTATCTAGAAATCACTTTTCGAAAATTGGCCGCGATAATAATACGAATTTACGAAATTACCCCTCCGAACTCGCGGCGGAGAATTAACGAACAAAAGAGAGAGAACAGAAGTAAACGATGAATGACTGAGAAACTTCCTACTGGTCGAGCCGAGAGAGGAGGATATGGCGTCCCTGAACGTCACCACAGCTTCTCTATCGCTCCGGCAGCCGGAATTCCGCTCTGGCAGTGGCAATCGCCGATGCATCATCGGAAATTTTCCTAATCGGAGACCGACGGTCCCTCTCTCTGTCGCTGCAAATTCTTCAGAGCCATTGCTGTCGAGTCCTGCTGAAAAGCCTGAGATCGAGCTGGAATTTCTTGGGGTAAACTCGCGTGCAAGAATTCGTTATCGGTAATTTTTGTCTAGTTGCGTGGATTATATTGGATGATGACTGTTTGATGTTGTGGTTCTTTGGTGCGGATAGCCGAACCCGGGGAGCGATGGATCGTACCCGGTGGACACGGCCAAGGCGGTAAGCGGCGAGAAGCTCTTGAGGAATATTATGCTGGATAATAAGATCGAGTTGTACGCCCCCTATGTAAGTTTTGATTTCTACACAATGTGGAGTGTGTTGTGATCTATTGCCGAACCGATTTGTTTGTCGCACTCATACTGCAAAATGTTGACATTGCAAGGGCTATAATGGATCATTAATGTCATTTTCATCAATTTCTAGTGACGTAAGAATAATGTGAAAGAAAAACCGATATGCAATAATCATGGAGTTTGTCGGGTAATGATGATTATGAATAATGACGACGATCTCTTCAATTTCAAACCTATAAATGAATTTGAGCTAATACCAAATTTTTAAATATGTCTCACTTGTCTGATCGTCATGTCTCAATAGAATCATGTTATGAACCCTGGCCTTTACTATTCAGTCTTTCTTTTTAACAAATTTGACAAATGTTCCATAGCTCGATACAGCAAGGCCTAAAGTGCTCCCCTTAATTAAATTGTTTATGGTCTTGATCATTGATGAATGACAATAATCATAATGTTCTAATTAGTGGATCATTTTTACATGTGTTTTCTCCCATGATGTGTCGTTTAAATGCATCCAAATGTTCACAGGGAAAATTGATGAACTGTGGAGGTGGCGGAAGTTGCGGAACCTGTATTGTCGAGGTAGTTTCCTGACATATCCTTGTAGTTAGAGCTCTAGTAATTTTGTTAAGTGACTTGCTTGTTATGCTAGGCCTACCGATGAAGTATCATGTATGAAATTGCCTTTAATATACATAATGAAAAATGCATGTCAGTTGTGCTTGAAACAGAACAGATGAACGTCAAACTTTTAAATAGTTGAGATCACTTATAGATTAACAAGCCTGTTTTTTTGTGATTGCAACAACGGTGGGAAAGGACACAGTAGAAATCATCATATTGTACAAAATAGTAGTGTCAGTGTCACAATCTTCACGAAAATTTATTGGTGTTTTTTTCTTTTATATCGTTCATTTATTAATTTTTCTATTTTCTTTACTGCACCTCATGTCTGGTTGAGAAATTATTCTAGGTAAAGGAACACATAAAGCAGAGGACCTCTATGATCTATTTGCACATTTTCTCCTAGTAATACATAGAAGTAGATTTCTGATGATGGTCTGTAATCCTCCTTGTGCAGATAATTGATGGGAATGGTCTATTGAATGAAAGAACAAATACTGAACTCCGATACCTGAAGAAGGTAAGATAATAATTGATAGACCCATCTCTCCTTCTCAGCCTCTCCTGTTCTCGTCTTTATGCAGACACGAACTCAAATATCCAATACCCCACAATCCCTGAAAGCCGAAAGGTTTAATAGGAAGCATGTTTAAAGATTTTTTTTTGTTTGTTTGTTTCTTACCTTTTTGATTTACCATGGTACCTCCCATGTTGCGTTATTAGCCATTAATTAGTTCCGACTTTTTTTCTACCAGTCTATGTATATGTGTTAATCTCCTCAAAGGTCTAGTAAGAAATCATTTTATTCCCAAAACTACATGATATGAAGTCAAGAGTTCAATAAATTCATTAATGTTTCTGTATTTTTCTAAAATCTATTTCCGGCTCGTTGAGCATAGTTGACCCAAACAAAATCCAAGTCCAGGTAAGCAAGCATCCCAGAATTGTTTGAACAATTCGATTTATTCTAACCTAATAATTTCAACTTTCTGAAATAGTGCTACTGAGTGAACTTTCTTAAATTATGCTAAGTCCCGTCCTGTGCATTTGTTGCTAAAAAATCAATACCAATTTTTTCTTTGCAAGACAGACAACTTTTAATTGGTTTCGATTTAGATTGCTGAAATTGGAGGTTGTAGTTTGTTCTGGAACCTACTTCTGTTTATGTTTTCTATAAGTTTGCCATTTTTCATTTATATGCACGGAGCAATAGTAACCATGGTTGTGGCAATTTAGAAACCCGAAACGTGGAGGCTTGCTTGTCAGACAATTGTTGGGAATAAAGAGAACTCTGGCAAGGTACTATCAAGAATCTATTTTGCATCTTTGTTCATAACTACCAAATTCACACAACCCTTCTATTGCATTGAAAATATAATATCCATGATCCTTAAATTGTACTTTAAAAAAACATGATAGCCCTAGATCTCCTCGTCATGATTAGACTCCATACTTGCTAAAAGGCAAGCTCGTTTGTGCAAGGGTGGAGCTATAAATTTTCATATGGAGGGGAAGAATTTTACATTCGAAGCGTTTCAACTCTAAGAACTAAGGGGCAAATTACATGGAACCTGAAGTTTTATCTGTAGTTTTTTTCTTTTCTTAACCTAAGACAACGCAGGGGTATTTGCCCTTATTCTTCTTTTTTTTTCTCTGTTCCTACTTTGACGTTTAAGCTGATCACTGGTTACAGGTTGTGGTCCAAAGGTTGCCGCAATGGAAGAAGTGATTTAGAGTTGCATCATTATGTAGAGGCTGTGATTTGTTGCAAAAGCAAGAGGGATTATGCTACACCAACCAGGACTCGCTTGAAGGCTGCTACTACTCAACAAATTTGGTGGCTTGGCACTCAAATACCTGCCTTCAACCCAACAAATCTGTGGCTTGGCACTCAAATACAAGACGCTCAATATTTGCTCCTGCTTTAACGTTTTGTAAGTTAAATTTGTATATTTTGAAAAATTTAGCTGAAAAAGGAGATAGTGTCTTTTAGTAATGTTTATACTGGTACATGTACTGTTTATTCACACATTCTTATACTTCATTAATGAAATAGAATTGTGAAGGGAAAAACGAAGACTGAAGAATCTGATTCTGGACACATGGACAGGTGTGACCAATTGATTTACAAATATTGCTCTTTGAATAAAAATAACTGCACAGTTCACAATCACCAAGAAATAGTCAAACATGAGTTGTATTGTATTTACTCGATGAGGAGAGATTGGAATGGGAGAAAGGAAAAGTGGAGAAAGGGCCAAAAGGAAAGTTGCATATTTACAGATTATTCAACCAATCAAATTGGTCCTTTTAAAAGAACAAACAGCCCACAGAAAGGCCATGCCTTTGTTCTAAATGGGGCGTCTTTATGCTAAATTACCATTATGTCCTTACAATTTTAAAACCTCTAAGTTGATTTCATAATTTTAAAAAATTTTAATTTAGTCTCCAATCTTCTAAAAATGTCATTTCTCGAAACATCTTTGTCAGTATAAAATGTTAATAACTTTTGACATGGTATGTTTTCTTTAGACGAGACGATCACATTGCTTCTCTCAACCTTGTCCAGAGAAGAATCTAATTGAAACAACCCGAAGCCTTTAGAGACTAAAATGGTAATTTAACCATTTAACGGTTTATATTACTTAATTGTCTGCCTGTGTTCAGTTAGCTATCTTGTACTTATATAGTCAAGTTGCAGGTCTGTCTTTCACTGAAATTAAAGAAATTGCATCAGTTTCAGTTACATGCCAAAATACTTAAAACTATATTTTGTTTGGTGGCTAATCTCTCTTTCTCTCCCTCTATGATTTAGGTGTGTAATGGGTGTCCATGTCCTAAGTTGACAATGCTGCTGAGTGGTGAGGACTTTGTGATGGAAAAGGAAAAAAGGTGGGAAAATGATAGCAGTGGAGCGGAGCTGCTTGTCTTCTAGGCTCCTCCAAAGCTGGTAATAATGTTACTGTTTGAAATCCTCTTCCCTTCCCTCTATATTTTGAATGGATTGGATGCCCTTATCCTTCTCCAACCACCCCTTCCCCCTTGGGACCACCTCCCCTCCTTTCCCTCTCTCTCTCGACCCCTATCAATAAATAGAATATCTTTTAATACTCCTAACCATAACTATTACTAACGAGATATTTGGGTCGTTTATTTATAAGTTTTAAATCTGTATAGTCTATAGTTTGGGGTTTTCAATAAATAGAATATATTTTAATACTATTATCCATATAGTCACTACTAGCGAGATATTTGGGTCATCTATTTATAACTTTTAAATTTGCGTAGTCTAGAGTTTGGGGTTTTCAATAAATAGAATATATTTTAATACTGTTAACCATATGGTCACTACTAGCGAGATATTTGAGTCGTCTATTTATAACTTTTAAATTTGTACAGTCTTTAGTCTGGGGTTTTCAATAAATAGAATATCTTTTAATACTACTAACCGTAACCATTACTAGTGAGATACTTGGGTTATGTATTTATAACTTTTAAATTTGTATAGTCTATAGTTTGGGGTTTTCAATAAATAGAATATCTTTTAATACTACTAACTTGAGTCATTACTAACGAGATATTTGATTCGTGTATTTATAACCTTTAAATTTGTGTAGTCTAGAGTTTTGAGTTGGGAAGTCGCTCAAGTTTATGTAGCATGTATTTGGATTGTGAAAAGAAACGAGTTTCTGAATTTGAGGTTTGAAGTATAGATTTGTTATTAACCATCATATGTTGGCCTAGTAGAGCATTGTAACATGAGAATTCTAATATTTCTCGACAATTATATGTTGGAGGATCTTGCAGTCCAACTCTCATATATGGATTAGGGATTACTAAATTGATACCATGTATTTAACTCTAGAAATGTAGGGTCGGAAGATGGAGTATTTGGCTTAGATTTGGATTGGAGTAGAGTTTTCAACCCATTTTCTTGGCATATACATACAAAAATAAGGGTGTACATAGTCTTTTTGAATTTTAGGATGTGAAAGATCATAACTTCAATTTGAAATTTGACTTTATTGGGTTTTAGTGTTTCAAGGGCACAGGGAAGAAGAATTTGGCAGCATGTGAATAGTCATTTTGAATTCTTTTTAAAAAATCAGCTGTTGTTTCTAGAAACTCTCGTTATTCAGTTTATTAATGTTATTTTCCCTAAAAATATTCCTAATTGCGTTTACTGCTATACCTTTTTAATCGAAGGATTTTTTAAAGAACAACTTACTATTCGAATCACGTTTACCACTTTATTAAAGTCTTTTAAATCTTTAATAAAATTATAAAAAATAAAAGTCTTTTAATAATCAAAAGTTGGGTCAACTCGAATATCATTCTTTTTTTTCACATTTCATATTTTTTTAATCATACTAAATTTAAATATTACAATCGGTGTAAATACTATTTTAGTTCGTGCACTTTGATTCTGATTTAGATTTATTTTAGTTTATGCACTTTCAAAACGTCTCTTTAGTCCATGTATTTTGAACCATCCATTTTGATTCCTATATATTTTTAAAAAGTGACCATTTTGATTATTTCATTTTCATTTTTATCTCATTTTTTCAATTATAATTTTAGCATGATACTAACTCGTTAAAGTTTTCAAATGTAATCATAAATAGATTTTCGTTTCGTATAAATTTTGTATTAAAATTTTTAAAATAGAGATTAAGTACCAAGATTAAAATAAACAAAAAGTAAAAGTACATGGACCAAATTAAAAGTATAAAGACTAAAATGCACTAACGTAAAAAATATAAAGGCTAAATTAATATTTAAACCTAAATACCTTGAATACCTCACACAATATTTGTTCATTTTATCTAATCTGATTTGGTTGGATGATGATTATATTTATTTAATAAAAACTCATGCAATATCCATATCTTTGTTTTATTTTTGGTTGAATTACATTTTTATACTTGATCTCGATTTAGTTCTTTTATCTTTTTTAAATGTTTTATTATCATTTCCATATTTTGATTAAAATCTAGTATATGTATTTAGTATTATTGGAAAAATAATGTAAATCCAACTAGACAAGTTATTTAAGCTACACGATAAATGAGATACAACTGAGTTATTTGACAAACTTTTTTTTACTTAATTAGACAAGCATTAGTGGTTGTGCTCTAAAATAATCTGATTAGCAAAAGTATCCAGTTAATTTAATCACACACCCTAATCTTTTTTTTAATTACTTTTCAAACAAAAATAATATTTTAAAATATAAGTTATATTTATATTTTTCAACCAGTTTAATTTCTCTATCACAACAATAATTTGGCGCATTAAATTTGTATTACTATCCACAAATGTTATAGACATCTCATAGTAATCTTTAATGAAAACCAATTTAAATGAACTAAATTATAAATTAACCTTTATTTTTAATTTTTTAATTTTTTTATTTGTCAAAACTTTCAAAAACTTTTTTTTAAAATAAAAATAAGTTTGAAATTATTAATTCGTCACTAAACATTAATTTAGGGATTCGATTCTCCCAAGTCCCAAGTGACAAAGATTTCAACATCGAACAAATTATCATGCCGATTTTCTTCATTGCGTGTAATCCAACAGTAATAATAAATTAAAAATTATTTCTTCAAAACAAAAATAAATTAATAATTATGGATATATTTTTGTCATGTGTCACATCCAATAAATTAGAATTATATTTATATGTCCGCTCGGGTGGCCACGAGTTCAAAAAACTCCAGGCTCCTTCCCGCTCCTTCTCCCCGCTCCTCTTCCGTTGACGCGCGCCCGCCATGTTGCTCCGCCGCTAGCTCCGTCGCTTACGGCCGTTGTCTCACAACATATGTATATGCACTTGAAACTATGGCCGACAAGCTGATCGGAGAAGATGCTGGAATAAGACTCGTTGTGATGCAGTAAGCTTTGCTGCGACTTAGCTCCGTTCTCTCTGGCGCAGACGTGTGGATAAATTTAGCCGTGAGTTTTAGATTCAGTGGAAACTTTATTTTGATTTTTTTAGCTTTGCGAAATGCGGCATTGTCTTGCATTTACGATTACTTGATCTCAAAGTTTTCCTGTTTCCCGAACTCTGAAGATTTTCTTCGTTCATTTTGTCATTTTCTTTGTATACTAAGAGGTTGTAATTGGAATTAGATTCTGCGCATGCAAATTACTATTCGAATAGAGCATGAATTTTCCGAGAAATGCTACAATTTAACTTTGACTGATTTTTTTTTTTGCATTGGTTACTCTTGCTGCCATTGTTATATTACTGAAAGAAATAAATTCAGGTGCCGAAGATAAGCTCTATTCGGCCGGGATATTGATTCAACTTACGGAATAAGATCCTTGATCATTTCCCTGGCGGATAATGCAAATGAAATTAAATTTGAATTTGCAGCAGTGGATACTGTATTGAGTCAATCAGCGAACTTAGATAGCAAGACCATAAAAGGAATTGATGTTTCATTAAATTTAGCATGGGAGTTTTTGGATCCTCTTAGAGACAACAGCGATGTGTTGAAGTGTAAAATTATTTCGATTTTGTTCAATAGCATATGAATAGACGTAGCATGATTCTGAACCTACATGAACATATCTGGACACAATTCCTTTTCATATCGGTACAAGATGCAGCTCTTCATTTCAAATGGCCAGAAAAATCATCTTTACCATTTAATTGTCACGTTTTGTCCTATCATGAACATTAATTTAATATTACAACTGCAGGTTGTTGAAGTTATAGCCATGCCTTTGCTCGTCCACACACAACAGATTTGYCAAATATGATGGAAGAACATAAGTTTTCTGTCAGAATCAGGCGCCCCCATTCTAATTCCTCAGGTAGGCTAGGAGCTATTTCACCCCTATTACAATGTCCAGTCAAAGAACTTTGCAAACGCGCCCACACGGCAATCTCTGAACAAGCACAACTAGATGGAAGTAATGTTCGTGCAACTACTACTTTCGGCCTTCGGCACAAAAGAAGAGCAGTGCTCAAGGATGTTACTAACATGTCCTGTGAGAGCAATAATCTGGATTGCTTACATGCTTCTGAAGTTCAGGTGCAAATTTTTTCATATTTTAAATTGTCAGCTGCATCATGGAGTTTGAATTTTAAATTCATGAATGTACTTATATTTCAGCTGAAAAAATGAAAAAGAAAATCGTATCTTTAATCATTCATGACAGTATTGATAACTCGGGCCTATCAATAATGAAAAAAAGTGTGGTATTTAATGTTTCTGTTGAAATTCGTAGATGCAAGAGGTTGCACAGACCGAATCAGTTGAAGGTTCAACCATTACAAGGATGGCAGAGTCACAAGGTAAAAAAGAGACAGCACAAGAAAACAAGTTTCACAGTGGCATAGGAAGCTCAAATTTTGCATTCCCCGTGCTTTCAGGATCAAAAGACCATCAAATCAAAGGTTTAAATGCTGATTCATACTCTTGCTTGTTAACCGTGCATAGCTTGGTTTTGACACCGAACTAACTTTTTCCATTTCAGTTATGACAATGCCATTCCATTCCCAAGTCTTCTCTAAATTAATTACCGTTGTGGGAACATCTTCATCTTAATCTTCGTGGGATCCAAGAAGGAATATACAATTTTTTAATAATCATCACAAAAATTAGTTATTCCTTTCTAAAGAAGGCAAATAGCTCAGATCTAATGATGTTCACACTATACCATATAATATAATTTGTTTGTACAATGACAGAATTTAGAGTTTCTTATTCATTAGATGGTACGAGAGAAGTAGACAATAATTTCTTTCATCACGGGTTTTAGGAATGTATCCTATATTCCTTCAGTTCTTAATTTTTACGTCCTTTACAATTTTACAATTTTTACTCGATTTTTTAGTGTGCCACTACAAAATGTGCTTGCAGTATATTCCGTGTTTCTTTATCAGCTGATTGAATGAAAGTATGTGGGATAAGCTTCATTTTGTTTGCATGCTTGCAGCCCACTGTTTTAGGAGTTATTAACCTAAGCTTAAACAAACACTTAATGAATCCTGCTTATAATTTTCTTTTCTCCTTTGTCTAATCCTTTTCATTTTAGGAACATGATTATGTTTTTGTGAAGGTAATGATTTTCAGTTACTTCATCGACTGAAAATTAATGAGTTCAAGGGAATTTTTTAGGAGATGTAAGACATTAAGACGGGGCAGATTACGTACTAGTTATTCTCATAGACCATTGATCTTATTAAAATTTCATTCATTTCAATTTTACTGAATTTATATTAACGGGTTCACAAAAAGCTTCATTATTTAAGGAGATGTTATACGTTGATGTGTTTTATCTTTTTGAAGACTTTTTGATCTTCTAGAAATTCGTGCACTCCTTGAAAAATATTTTGATTCGTCATCAAAAGAAAAATGATAGATACTGTTGAAGTAAATATTATCTATTCATCATTCTTTTTTTTTTCTTAATCAAACTCTGCAGATAAGGCTAGGAATTGTGAGAATTTGTCAGTCTCAAATCACCTTGGTACATTGGATGGTGTTTCAAACTCAGAAGATCCTCAAGCATGCACCCTATATGCCCATGATATATATGATACTATTCGTGTAATAGAGGTCTGTGTTGGAATAGTCAAATTTTCATCAAGTTCTCAAAGAAAATTTTGGATTTATGTGGTATTGAGGAAAAATAAAGAGGACAGTAATTTCTATCTTTTGTCAAACAATGACCTACTTGTGCTAAATTGTTGAACTGTCTTCTTCTTCAGCTTGATCAAAGGCCATCCACTAACTATATGGAAGAGTTACAGAAATATATCACTCCAATCATGCGAGGGATACTAATTGATTGGCTGGTGGAGGTTAGTATAAGTATAGCCTGTCAAAAACAATTTGAATTTTATTCAGATATTTATGCTTGAAATATGCCCATATTTTCTTCTTTCATAAGTCATAACATATGGGGAACGACACATGTGAATTTTTAAGAGTAGAATTTTGCAAGAGCTCACTTCTAAGTAGGTCAAACTCTTTATTTCAGGTCTCCGAAGAATATAAACTGGTCTCTGACACACTTTACCTCACTGTGAATCTCATTGATCGGTTTCTCTCTCGAAGTTTCATTGAAAGACATAGATTACAGCTTCTTGGTGTTACTTGCATGTTAATCGCCACGTAAGTTCCAAATCTTGTGGACTGATATTCATCGTATTAGGAATGAAAAGTACTTTCACATGAAATCTTTTGACTAGCAAGGTTTATGCTGAATAAATTGTTATGAACTTAGTTATTGCTGATGTGGTTGCTAGCCCCAACAATAAAGAAAACTAGGTACGAATTCTTGGTATTAAATGATGGTCGAAAAAACGGTGAACTCTCAAGACTTCAGACAAAGTTTTGTACAGTGAAGGCTCATACGTCTACATGATCTTTAAAACATTGGTGGCTAACTTTCTATATTAGTACCAAATCAAATGTTTTATACATTAAAGCCATATTTTGGTTGCTGATAAAATTTTCATTTATATGTTTTATTTACCATCTTTTCAATATTCCATGACTTCATCTGGAACAATATGATTTCATCCTCACGTGTCAGGCACAAACTTCCTTTCTATCAGCTTGCAACTATCCCCCTATTTATTTATTTTTAAACGCAAATCTCCGTTCAATCTTTTTTGCTATGATCTTCTATTAAGCTTTCCTGAACGACTGTAAATTATTGAAATTATAAAACCATGTATCTACGAATCACTGTGTAATCCGTGATATGTTTGCTTTTTGGTGCTTGTAGTAAATATGAAGAAGTCTGTGCACCGTTTGTGGAAGAGTTTTGCTTCATCACTGACAACACCTATACAAGAGGAGAGGTAGGCTTTTGGTCAATTGGCATCCCTATTCTTGTCAGCAATACTATGGGCAGATATTGATAGCTCACCTGCTCTCATTTTATTATGTCACTGCATTTGTGCCACGTAGTTTTCAACTCTTCATATTGATGCCTTTTTCATCATTTATGACCTCATCTCGTAAGCCAAATCTTTTCTTGTCCTCCTCATGCTTAGGTCAATTAGACCTGGAAACATGTAGCCACAATTCTTAAGAAAGGGTTATGGATATGCAATCCTGTTGTCCCATATAGCATGTGATCCCAAATAGAGCCTTAAAAGTCATGATGGCTTTTACAAGATGACTAAAACTACCTTGATTTTGATTGGGGTCTGACCATTTGCCATAGAAGAGCGCAGGCATGAGGGAATTCTTGCTGAACATTTAACCATGACATCATATTACATTACCATTTGCCAATAAGGTAATATACTCAGGAGACTTGGAAAATAGTTCGAGGGATAATAATTTTTTTTTTCCAGATTGCTTGGAAGATTTAAAAATAGAAATTAATAACACCTCTGTTTTGATTCGACGATTCTTTGAGGATTCCTTAGGCCTTAACTTTGTTACATTTTTGCCATTTCATGAGTGTACTTCAACTGTTCAAGGAGGATTCTCAAGAATTTTAAATGTCGATGGTTTTCCCGGTCCCACTAGATTGATATCGTGTGGCAGGTACTAAAAATGGAGGGTGAAGTTCTGAACTTGCTCAACTTTCAGCTTTCTGTTCCCACTACAAAAACATTTCTCAGGTATCTTAGTACCATTATCTCTTTCCTTTTCTGAATCTTCTGACAACATGCCATGAAAATTGTCGTTCTAAAAGACAGCATCTTCGCAGGAGATTCGTGCAGGTGGCACAGGCTTCTTGCAAGGTATTTAATTTAGAAAACCCATATTTTTCATAGAATTCAGTTCACTCCAGTTGCCGAATGTCGATTCATTAAAGAACATAGAAAAGTAATGATAATCTTAGCATTTAGATTAGATCTTTCACATCCGTTGGAAAAGTTGATATTAAGTTGCTTAAATTCCCGATCTTATCTGTTGCAGAATTCATTTTGCTTTGATTGGCTAACATGAAGCTCAAAACCAACTATTTTACCAGGAACCTTGCGTCGAATTCCAGCATTTAACGGATTATCTAGCAGAGTTGACTCTTCTTGAGTACAGCTTCCTCAGGTTCCTGCCTTCAGCAGTAGCTGCTTCTGTCGTGTTCTTAGCCAGATGGATTCTGAATCAACCAAATCACCCATGGGTCTGTTTTTCCTTTGTCCCTTTACTGTTCTCTTTTGTCTCATGTTTTCTTTTTTCCCTCTTTTGGGGTCCCATCGGTACAATGTTTAATAATTCAAATTACATTATCGACATACGAAAGCACGGTTTTAACGCATTTCTTCGGCTTGCAGAACCAGACGCTGGAGCATTATACCAATTACAGTGCCTCCGAGCTAAAAACTCCAGTTCTTGCCTTAGAAGATCTACAATTGAACTCCACAAGTTGCCCCTTAAACGCCGTATTCCAGAAGTATAGACAACAGAAGGTTAGAAACAAAGTTTACCCTTCTTTACAAGAACTGTTTTAATCAATAAGATGGTGCTCTAAAATAGTGTGGGTTTCTTAATCAAAATCCAGCATCTATATCATTAAATAGGATGCATTCTTTGTCTTGAATTCAAAACAAATAAAATCCCTCTTAGAAGATGAAGTTCTGATCATTCTTATGAAGTTTCTGACTTGGCTCATTATAATTTTTAGTTGTTAAATTCGAAGTAAAAGAGCGGAATAAATGGGGTTTCAATGTCTGATGTGTTTTGACGAAATTCATGGCTGTGTTGGACTGAGAAATCTTGTTTATTGTGACAGTTTGGGAATGTGGCGACTTTAACCTCCACAAAATCAGTTCTCTCAGTTTTGCAAAACCAGACAGGTACCTAAATGCAGGGGCATATGAGACATTTCCAAAATATGAGTGGTTGAAGAAGGAAAAGAAAAAAAGGAAAAAGAGAGAGAAAGATAAGATGTGGATAAAATAATTGTGTGTTTGTTTGGCTTATTTATTATCAGGTTGTGGCGCTTCTGCTTCCAGATGTGGGGTTGAATTTTAAAGCAACAGGCTAAATTTATAACAGGAAACTGACTCTTCCAACTGTTTGGTTCACATCAAACAACTCAGTGAACCGATGCCTCGACAGGCAAACATCATATGATTATTAAAAGACAATCCTGTCCTGTCCACTTTTTTTGTGACCAGAAAAAAAATTTAATTATCAATTTTACTCGGTTGCATGAATGCCTACCTACTTATGAATTTGACTTTCCTCTTCCTCCGGCTTTTACTTTTGCCATGAATTCCACTACTTCATCGATATCAGCTACAATTTTTTTTATAACCAGGATTGAGCTCTTGAAATTTCAATTTTAGGACACAAAAAGTGTTCGATTACTGAACTTTCAATGTTGTATCTAATATATTCTTAAATTTTCAATTTTGTATTTTAGATTATTGACTTAATGAGATACTAGTATCCAACACAAAATTGAAAGTCTATTTATAGGTTAGAGTCATATTAGACTGTTTTATTTAATTCGGAATTTTGAAAATTTTGAGATTAAATGTGTAAATGTCAAAACTATTTTAGATTATTGTACATTTGAAGTAACACAATTACAATTGTTATATAACAAATGCTATGTGCCAAATTTTTGTTCTGAAGGACAATAAATTCTTAAACAATTCTCTCGGTGGGTTTTGCACTAAATAATTAAGTGAATTGTTCATAGTAGGTAGCCAAATAAAAATGGGACCTCACAGAAAAGTGGAAGTAATAATTATGGTCTTCATTAGAAACAGAAATCTTGCAATCTGCTCGTGGGGTGGAACATCATTTAGCAACAAAGTGGGGTCATGATATTCATGATAAATCTCATCCATGAACCTTCTTTTTTTAATTTCCTAAAATTGATGTAGTGTTATTTACGCTGCTTATTCTTTTATGTGATTATGAATTGAGCAACACAGTGATTAGCGCAAAGTTTGAACCCAAAATCTCGTGATAAGTGATACCACAATTCTCAAAACTCTTATCATTGCACCATGGTCAAATTGCAATCTCATTATCGAGGGGAAAAAATATTCATTATTCATTTGACAAACCTTCTCAAATCATGACCATTAGTCATCAATCTAAACATACTTATCTAAACATAATTTAAGTAGTTAGATCTAGTCATCTCGTTCTTCCCAAAAATCGTGACTCCRAACCAATCTGTCAAAAAATAAGATATCATTTTGACCTTGATGAAAGAATAAAAAGCAACGAAATTGAGACAATGGGAGAAGGGGAAAAGATTTTCTGAAATGCACTGCAAGAACTTTCCGATGAACTTGCAGAGGAGTTAACATCCAACGTCATAATGGCGACAGAGAAATTACAGGATCCAAAATAAGGTTACAAAGATTGGCTGCCACAGCACCAACCAACCCAAAATTACATATTCCCATTCCTACCCACCAACACATCACATTTCCCCTCTGGTATTTCCATTTTCCACCCTCAATTGCAAAAGACAACAGAAAAACAAAGAAAATAAAGGGGTGTGGCAGTGGCACTGATTTGAGAGTGGGAGTGAGGGAATCTTACATTACATGTTTATCATCAATGGAACCAACTTCAGCAGGCTATTGAGGATGCTAAGGGAGTTACCAGCACAGCGGTTTTCCCGGCCATTGGTTGGACGCTCGCAGCTGCGTTCTCGAGTTGCTCCCATACCTGCTTCCGTTTGTTGGCTGCCGAGCTTATCTTTGCTTCTTCCTCCTTGGCATGGGCATGGCAGGATATGAATAGCTCATCGTCCATCTCCATGAATATCTTTCTAACGTTAAGGGTTAGGTTCACCACTGCTTGGTTCCAGTGGATCTGGGCATTCCTCTCTAAGGCGGGAAGTACGATGGGCAATATCACGTGTCTGTTGTGCGCGATCAAGTTTACGATGTGGTCATTGTTCCACAAGAAAAGGGCCCTTTCAGCCACCTGAAAGATAATGAGTTCAATCAAACAATCTCAGCAACAATGGTGTTAAAAGAAGAGTTAAACTTGAAGGTGAAAAGTCCAACTTAACCAATCGAAACTGAGCCAAATCAAGTTGTCTCTTATCAAAGAAAATGATAAAACATATGAACCGTACATATTGAATGTGAAACCAAAAGAGTTTTAGAACCAAACATCAAATATATGTTAATGATATGTGACAATGGCTGTGAAATGGACCCACAAATGTTGAAAAACCAAAGAGAATATAAGCATGAAATGACTGGAACTCAGATTATTAACTGATTGAACCTTCACATCATATATTGGCTAATATAAATATAAGCTTTGGGAGATTACTACCTGAAAGTGCGAACTGTTTATGCAGCATCCGATTCGCCAGAACAAGGGAACCATGACTTTCTGAAATTCCACCATGTTAACTGCTTCCAAAATCTCCTCTAACTCACCCAGAAACATTACCTCTTTCTGACTACTCGTTATCGGCCAATATTTTAACAGTCCTTTAATCACAACACTCGCTAGCTTTGGTTCCTTCTCTACAAACTGTGTAATGCAGTATGAAAGTTGTTGAAAATAGGCACCTACAGACTTCGGCTTATGCAGAGGAATCAAAACCCTCCACAAGAAGATCTTGTGCTCCTCTTTAAGAGGTAATGCAAACCCGCTGATTATACTTCCGAATATCTCCAGCAACTCAGCGATGCCATTATGTCTTTCGGTCTCGGATACAAACCGATAAAATATATTGTTGATAGACTTGCGAATGAAAGGCCGATGAACCATGAACTTCCCATATATCCGATGCATAATCGTCTTCAAACATTCCCTTTCTCTAGGATCCTCCGAATCAAACAACTCCAACAGTCTCAAAATGAACGAATGGTCCATATACTTCTTTGCTACCTTAGCATCAACATAAGTAGAATGTATAAACTTAAGCAGCAAATCATAAACAAGCTGTAAATGAGGCCAAGCAGGATCAAACGTGGGCTCATCATCGTCATTTTCACCACCAAGAACAACACCACCAACCATGTTAGCTCGATAATTCGGTGGAAAGACTCTAAACAGGTTAACAGCGCACATTTTACACAAGGCATTAATCGCAGGTTCGCTGAATTTCATGGACCCAGCATTAACAAATTCCACTAGTTCAATCAACGTTTGTCTTTTAACACCTTTTTCTATGGAATTCTTACTGGGGTCCGTGAAATCAAAGGTAACACAACAAAGGCTCAGTTTACTCACGAAGAGATTCATCTTCTCGGAAGAGGGCACGTCTTTGAAAGGCACCAATGGCTCGATTCCGGCCACGAGGCTCGCCGGGAACACTGCAGAGGAAGTTCGCTTAGTAGCATTGGTCCGGCCTGAGGCAGAAGCTCCACCGCTCGATCTTGGGGTCCCAGGGCCGGAAGATGTAGAGCTACTTCTGGGACTGGAACGCGATGAAGACCGCGGTGTTCTTGGTGAATCGGACGAGTCGGATGACTTCCGAGGAAGCTTGCTGAGGATCTGCTTGAGCATTGTGAAGAAACGATTCGATAACAAAAAGAAGATCAGACCCAGGAGGAAAATTTGATCATCGGGGAACATAAACGCCCAAAATAGTAACAAGGAACCCTATCTCTCGACCATGAATTTGAGCAAATCCAAAGGGTAAGCAACGATTTCTGAGATCCCAGAAGCAGAAAACACCTCAGGACGGAAAATGTAGAGAATGCAGAGGACATTGACTGAATGTCAGATCCGCAAAAATCTTGTTCACCCGAGTCCTCCCAAGGAACAACATGGGTTATAAAGGGAAAGTTAAAAAAAGGAAAATCAAATTTCAAACAAGCTCACAAACGAGAGAGAGAGAGAGAAAGCGGGATGGAAGAGGAAACAAAACGGTCCTATCAACATTCAGGTAGCCAGCATTCCTAGAACAAAGAAATTTAACAAACGTATAAACAGAGAAAAATAACAAAACAAAACAAAAAGAAGAAAAGAAGAAGAAGATTTAGGGTTTGATGACAGCAAAAGTAAATCCAAATCCCATCATTCACAATCAAGAACACTCCACATTAAGAGAAGGAGAGAGAGAGAGGGAATTGGGGAGATTAACGGAGATGAAAGAGAAAAAGAAAGAGGGTTTGATGATGATGATGATGAAGAAGTTGCTTTTTTGAGTTGTGGGTTTCGTCTTCCCTGGATTGAGAGGCGAATTAGAATAGCTAATGTTCGATTTCCATGAAAAGAATGGAGGAATTGAACATGAGCTGCTCCTCTGGTTTTTGATTTTGTTCTTGGTTTTCGTTTTTGTTATCGTTCTCGTTTTCCTCGGTAGATGCGAGAACGAGAAGAAGAAACCTCTGCCTTATGGGCATTTTCCGAGAGAAAATGCAACGCTTTACACAACACTAATTTTCCATTAAATATGCCTTCTCCCTCTCCCTCTCTTTTTTTTCATTTCCCCAGACATTATTTATTTTTGTTTCTTAATTTCAAAAAAGTAACTACTTTCCTTTCATCGCCCCAAATATTCAAAATATCTCTTCCAATCTATCAACTTTAGAACAAAAATACTCATCTTCATGCTTCTCATAAATCGTTGAGATTAAGGTTTTAAATGTCGATGTGGATGAAAATATCAATATTTCAATTTTATGGAAAAATTGATGTCAATGTCGATGTCGATGGATATTTCTATCAAAATTAGAAAAATTAAAAAAATCGTAAAAAATATTTAAATTAACAAACAAACATTTTTCAATTTCTAAATTAGTTAAAAAATAATTAATATTAATATTATGTATATATTAGTGACATTTTATAGATATTTTCTATATTTTATCGATTTTCTTGTACTATGATGAAAACGTTGATTCACCTCTAGTGTCGATGTCAAATTCATGGAAACATTGATATGTTGATAGAAATGTCTACGTATTAGAATCATGTCTGAGACACTTATTATATTAATTACTATTTTAAAAATTGATGGCTTGATTCTTACTTACACAAAATTGATTTAAAAGTTACATTATCAGTTGAACCTACTTTTCCGTGTTAAAATATTAATACTAGCGAAAAATCAGGAATTCGAATCTCATACAATTTAGATGCTAAAGCACATATTTTCGTAGTGAAATAAAAGCGAAAAGAAACAAATATTTATTTTTAGATTTTATTTATTTATTAGGCGGGACGGGTAATGATGAAAAAATTGGGGATAAATGTTATCTGAAATCTGAATGTGCTGGTAGATGTGATTTAGTACCTCGTGCCACGCAGGATTGGTGGATTTTGCTTACTTTAAAAGTGGTTTAAAACTCCTCTGTCTTAAACGACGCCGCTTTCAAGTGGGCCTAAGGCTTATCTAAGGGCCCAAGTCTCGGCCTTAAAACTAGCCCACGCAGTACACGCCATCCCACTTGGGCCATTACCAAATGGGTCCTGCTCCTAACTAACAAAGGTATTAAATTTTCGATAAATGTCCACATTTTCACATGTTTATGAATTTAATATCGGAATGAGTGATGAATTAAAATTAATATTATATCATAAAAATCAATGAAATATAAGAAAATTCGATAAAGTATCATTATGTACGTAATATTAATAATTATAATTTTAAAAGGTAAAATGTTTATTTTTGTTAGTTTAAATAATTTTTTTAGTTAACACGAGCATAATTGAGTGGTACTTAACATATAATATTTCTCTGAGAATCTTTATATTTTCAATTTGTTTTATTCAAATAAAAAAAACCTATATATAAATTTATTGAAATTTCCATTGACATTGTTTGTAAAATCATGCTTCTGACATTTTAAACTTTAATTTTGGTTTTGCAGTTAATACTATTTTATGTATAATTTTAAATTGATAAATCATCGTGCTTTTTGTTTAAAATATATTTTTTCAACCTTTGCAGGTTCAAATTTTTTACTTGGAGAAAGGTTGTCAATGTTTTACCCATCAAACTAGTTCCTTTCGATGTATTTACCAAATTGTAGGGATGTAATCAAATTGTGAGACTCATCTCAAGTTTTGTAATCCCATTATATAAAAAGGTGTAATACCCAACCTCAACAATCTCATTCTCATTCCTTATTCTGTGGACCCCACATATATTATATATTGTTATAATTACTGTATTACTTTTACTTTTATCTCTCACGATTAGATCCATATAATTTTTAATTAGTCTTTTTATACTTTTATAATTTCTTCTCTATTTATATTCCAATTTTTATTAGTTGATGTGATTTTATTATATAATATGATAAATTAATATTAATTAATATCAATAAATTTTTTAAATAGATATTATTACTTTTAAATATTAGAATAATAAAACTTAATAATATGTTATATTATGTTCGAATAAAAAATATTTTATTAATATGTAATTTTATTTTAATTATTCATTATGTATTATAGATAAACTGTTATAATAAAAAATATTTACCATCAATAATATATTAATAAATTAAATTAAATTTTATTATTATTATAATTTAAAAAGGATTAGCACAATAATATATTTGTAGTTAAGGAGAAAAAGGTATATCAGTAATTGTTATATATCCGATTTCGATTCCGATTCCGATTCCGATTCCGATTCCAGAGAGTTTTAGTAAAACAAGAATTCTGATTAGGATCCCAGAAAATTTATGGAAAATAATATTTCAAGAATTCAAACTAATTATTTTTTTTTCATATATTTTTTTAATGATGTTTTTTACCTTTCATAATTACTGGAGAAAATATAACAAACTTTCAAAGGAGTTAAAAAAACAAATCAGAAAATACCATATGTATTCAAGTAATAATCTATAGGTAAAATAATCCCTGAATAAAACATTCGTATTTATGATGAACTAAATATACTTATGGAGTACAATAAATATTGAGACGAGTGATTAATTAATTTAAAGATATATAAGAGGAATAATCCGACAAGTATAAAGTTAGACTTTAATAGTTAGATTAATGGAATGATCACCTTTTTGTCATCTTATATTGAAAATGTGGGGTTATAAAAATGAGACCATATTTGAAAAGATGCGGACATATTAGTTAAAAATAAATAGTTTTTTAAAATTAATAGTAAAAAATGGAATTTTGCATTTTGCTAATTTCGAGAAAATAAACGCCAAATAAATTCGGAAAAAGTGTCCCTAATTTTATTGTCAGTAAGTAAATATATTCAAATAAAAATAAACATATTTTTATTATTGAAATTTCCTAATATTTTGAGCCGATGAATATGAAATTAAATTTCTTTTTTTATTATATGGAATAAAAAAATTATTTTGTTTACTCAATTATAAAATAGAAAATTATACTTTTTTTATTGTTTTGATAAAAAAAAATTCAAGGATTGACCTTTATTTTTCATCCTCCAATAGGAGGGATTTCAATTTTTTTTTCAAATCAACGATTTGAAAACTTATTGATTCTAACAACTGATTGCAGAGTTTAGCATTCAATAGATGTGGATTTTAGACCTATGAATAAGAATATTCTAGAAACACACAAAGAAAAAAGAAAGCGAATTAGACAAAGAAAATAGATTCCAACTTTTTTAAGTAAAATATGTGAGAATGAAGATTTGAACTCGTAACTCATAACCGTTTGGTCGTATCTATACTCTGATTGGTAGTAGATTCTAACATTTTATTTTGAAAACTCATGGCATCAAATTATACCATCCACGATTTTTTTGAATTTTGATTTATTTTAGGTTAAATTACAATTTCAATTCATAAAATTTTAAGTTAAAAAATTTTTTTAAGTAGGTCATTGAGGTTCGGATTTTGTGTCTAATAAATTACCGAACTTTGAAAAGTGTCTGCTAGATTCTTTAAGCTTTCAATTCTATATCAACTAGTCAATAAACTTCACAAATTTCAAATAGGTCCTGAAACTTTTAATTTCATATCTAAAATAACTATGATATATTCAAACATTTAAAATTTTTTAACATATCTAATCAAACATCAAATTGAATTTTATATCAAATATAATTTCAAACTTTCAATTTTATACATGGTGGATAAGTGAATTTTTAAAAAGTTTGAATGGATGAATGATTTATTAGACATGAAAATTGAAAGTTATACTTGTTAGACACAAACTTGAAAGTCTATAATCTATTAGACATTTTTTAAAGTAACTCTATACATATATCAAATACAAACATGATGGTCTGAAACTAAACTTATAATTTAAGGTATAATTTAATTAGTTCATATGTTAGTAGCATTCTTGAAAATATCACAAATTTAAATTACCACCCAATATTTGAATGGTCATACTTAACCCGTTGACTCAAGATTTTTTATTTTTATTTATTTATTTATTTATTTTTTTTTTGCAAAGGAAGTATTAGATAAATTTCACAAGTTCTCTCAGACATTTCTAGTCTCGGGCCTAGTAAATTCCTATAACTTTTTTTAGTACTAATTCCTAAAATTTTAAAATATTATGTAAGACTTTTAAATGGTCTATATATATATATATATATATATATTGTTAATCACATTGCTTAAATAATAATTTTTTTCAAATTAATAAAAATTAACGATATTAATCTATTAAGCAGGAATTTTAAAATTTAGAAAGTGGTTTAAAAAATTTTAAAGTATAAGGATGATGTAGATATTTTTTTTTAAGGAAAAAAATAAAAGTCTTATTAGATTTTTCTTTTTTTTTAAAAAAATATAGAAACTAAAGAGCTTAAAAGGTTAGTAGCAAAATTATAATTTAACACGAGAGGTCGAAAGTTCCATTCCTCCCCATAGTTGTAATAAGAAAAATTCTAAAGAGTAAAAAAAAGAAAAAAAGAAAGAAAAAGAAAAAGGAAATCTAACATACAATTATTATTTTTTTCCGATCCGAAATTAGACAAAAAAAATTTGTGATCTATAAATACAAAAAGAAAAAGAAGGAAGATTCTCAGGCGAAGGTAGCCAAGCAATGGAGGTTCAAAGCTGAGTCTATCCCTCCCTCCCCAATAAAGCAAATTCATCGATTCACTTCAATTCTGCAACGGCGTCGTTTCTGCACCCCCTCCGATTTCCTCTCTGCCTCCCGCGCCGGCCGCTCCCCTCGCCGTTCGCTCAGTCCGGTGAGGTCCCCGTCTCCGGCAGGAACTAGTTTTTGCTTCCATCGAATTTGCCAAATGCTTCGTGTATTTGTATTTTTGAATGTAGAGGTAGGTCGGAAATGGCGTTTTGTCTCGCCGGTCTTGGGTTTAGGGTTTGAATTGATGATTATTTTAGGCGGTTTTACCTGCCTGCGGTGGTCTTGGGTTGGGCGGATGGATCATTTATAAGAGGATCAGTCAACGGCGTGGAGTTGGGGGTTTTGATCCATCTACTTTGGGGAATTCAATTTATAATTCGGTTCTATTTGGATTTGTCGTTTGTATTTGGTTTGAAGCAATGGCTGGAGTTATGCATTTAGTCTTTGTTTGGTTCATTTGATTCTGAGAAACTGAGGAAATTTTGAGACTATGGCGCATAGGGGAGTTCATTTCTTTAACCATATTTCTTTTTTCTGATAGCTATGTTAGAATATTTAATTTCTTTTTGGAAAAAAATATCGGAGGTCTTTCGTTAACGACGCAAGTAATGCTACGTTTCCTTCGCGCCTGTCCTGTCTAAAATGCCATATTGTTCGAGAAAGAAACGGCTCCTTAAACACTGTTTTATGATTTATTTTCTTCGTTCCTCATTCCCTTTTTCTTTTTCTTTTTGTTACATGTAAGATCTGTATTTTCTGCTTTCAGTAGTATGATATTTGTACGAGAACTATGGTTAAACTCTGGAGGTTATTTATTTCTTTAATATGATAATTTATATTTTCTTAGATTGGCAGCTTTGTGGATTGACAAAGTTGCATCGAAGGACTGCAGCAACATCAATTTAAGTTTTATGTAAGTGGAGTTGTGATATACTTACCTTTTAGAAATTATTTGCCTAATGTTTTGTCTCCACTGTATGTGTTCATCAATTGTTGGGTGGATTTGTTTCATTCATTACGTATTAATCTCTGAAATTTGACTTTCCTATTTGTATCAGGTAAAGAATGCTCCATTTTTTAATTCGATCTATTTAGTCAGATGGATGCCATTTTTTAGAATCAGAAACTAGTGATGCTAGTTAAAATTATAAAATGTCTTGTTGCCTTTTTGTCGTTTTGCCCCGTGGAACTTAAATAATGTTTGAGCTGAATTCAGCGACCTTATATTCTTTTTTGGTGGATGATTTGATTTTCACTAGCTTAAAAGAATAAAAGATAGCTGTTACCAAATGAAATGCTTGAAATAAATGCCAACGCTCTACTGTTTCTATTGGCCAGCCAGCATTGTACATTGTATGACAAAGCTCATTGTTGTCTAATTATTTTCTCTTTTTGTGCTTAAAGCAGATTGAGATTTGTTACTTTCCCCTTCTCTTTGTGGTGTCCTCCAAATTGGGTTTCTGATTAGCCTTCAACCGATCTATCAAATTGGTGTTAAATCTGTGAATTAAAAGTGGCAGTGGTTGGCCAAACGCAGCAGCCTTGTTCTAGAATTCTATGCTCTCTTTGTTCTTCATTGTGTTACTGGACTTAGATGGACGTTCCCTCAGTGGAACTAAATTGTGAAAGCGAAGAAGATTCTTACCCTTTATTAATGGCCCGTCCAGAAAACTTCGACAGCAGTGAGCATGTCATTGACATAACTGGTACTGGTGATTCTTCCTCTAGTTTGCCTCATGGTAGGAATTCAAATGGCTTAAATTCATCACAGCCTGAAGACAGACCTTCAAGTAGTACACGAGTTCCCATGTCTCAGCCTTCAATTTCTTCTACTGGATCAAATTCTAGAAATTCCTCATTCATTAGAAGAGGGGATGCGCGACGTCGTAGGAGTCCATTAAATTCTGGTCTATGGATATCTATTGAATTGCTACTCACTATGAGCCAAATTATTGCAGCTATTATTGTCTTATCATTGTCAAGGGATGAAAAACCTCGCGCACCTTTGTTTGCATGGATTGTGGGATATGCATCTGGATGTGGTGCCACTCTTCCTCTTCTCTATTGGCGTTATCGACATCGCAATCAGGCATCAGAACAAGATTCTCTTCAATCCAGTCAGAATTCTTCTCGCATTAATGTTCCTGCTGGGCCATTCTCTCTTTCAGTTTCTAGGACATCAGAAGGGGAAGAACTTCAGCATCCTGCCCAATCCCCTAGAGGCAGTCAAGTGTCGGGCGTTTTTACAGCAAGGTGTGGGTTTGTTATGCTTGTACCATATACTTTAATTATTAGCCTTGATTGGTAGGTAACTCAATTTTTATGTCTTGTGGCAATATTTTTAGATGTATCAATATTTGAATTTTCAGTTCACGAGATTATTTAGCTGAGTTCTACTTGCTGATATCTGTCTCTTATTGGAGAGACAGAGAGAAAAACACCCATGTAAGATTATGGAAAATCATGTACACAAATTCTTACTGCTTTTTACACCTTCAATCTTCTTTTTTTTTTCCATACTTCGAACTTTAAATTATACAGGAGATCCTAATTCCCCTATGTTATTACATCTCTGTAGATCAATCATTAGAGCTGTTAATCTAACCCCATTGGGTGTGACAATTTCATCAGGCAGGTTGCATTTTGACTGGATCACAGATTCATCATTAGATGTTTCTTTTATTCCATTCTTTAGGACGAGACTAAATGTATGCCGGAATGGCCATGGCCTTGACCTTGATTAACATTAAATGACTTTGATTGTCATGTTCAAGGTTGTAGCAGTCTCTTTCTTACCATATAGCTTCCCAATTCCTTGTTTCGTGATCTTTTCTTGAGGCACTTTTTCCTTCCTTTTCCTAGTAGTTAAGCAATAATCGCCCTTACATTTGGACTTGTGGTATTTTTGCTTGCAGATTAAAAGTAATGGTTGAATATTTTAAGATGGGCTTGGATTGCTTCTTTGCTGTTTGGTTTGTGGTTGGTAACGTTTGGATCTTTGGAGGGCATTCATCAGCCTCCGAGGCTCCTAACTTGTACAGGTGTGTGCTGTTATACCATTTGTATACGTGGATACACATGAGTAGCGCTACTTGAATGGATTTTATTAATTTCTCTCTTTCTTTGCAGGCTATGTATAGTGTTTCTTACCTTTAGCTGTATTGGTTATGCCATGCCCTTCATTCTCTGTGTAACCATCTGCTGTTGCCTACCTTGTATAATTTCCATCCTTGGGTTTAGAGAGGACTTGACACAGACCCGAGGAGCCACAACAGAATCTATAAATGCATTGCCAACTTATAAGTTTAAGCTGAAGAAAAGTAGAAGTGGAGATGATAGAGAAAACAACTCCGGGGCTGGGGAAGGAGGAGGGGTTGTGGCTGCTGGAACTGAAAAGGAGCGAGTGATTTCAGGAGAAGATGCTGTAAGTACAGTGCAACCTGTTTTATTCCATTCTAATTTTATCATCGTTTTTGTGATTCTCAATTTCTTAGGGGCAGCTTGATAAGTGATAACCAGTTTGTATTCTATTTTTAATTTTTGGTTTTTCAACTTTTAAAATGATAACCATTCAGTCTTCAGTTTTTAAATTTGAAAAATGTTTTTTGAATTGCAGGTAAATTTTAAAAACAAAAAGAAGTTTTTAGAAGCAAAATTTTATTTTCTAAATCTCACATTATCTCTTACATATTCTCTCTCGAAAAATTTTCCCTCTATAACTTTTCTTTTCCATTACTAAATTCTCTCTCTTTGTCTATAACTTTTTTCTCTATAAAAATTTCTCTTTTAAACTTCTTTGCCTCGAGCTTATTTTTCTCACACTAACAAAATTTTCCTTACTTTTCTCAGTCTCTTTAACATGTCTCTCTACAACTTTTTTGAAAAAGAAAATAAAAATGTTATAAAACCACTTTACTTGCATGTACTTCTCGAAATTTTTAAATCATTCTTTTGACTATATAACTACTCTTAAGTTTCAGTTTCTTAATTTTATCTACTGTCTGCAAGGCATGTGCTGCACAATTAATTGTCTGATAAATTAGCAGTCGGTTATAAATTATTACAAAAACCTAACTGGCTGAAAGGCTGTGGCCTGAGATTTCCCTTGTTAAGGGATGAATGTGCCAGAAGTGAAACCTCACCTTGTCTAATGCATCCCGTGAAATGAATTATTAGTTGATATGGAAATTGTATGACGAAAGTTTGTTGTCTTGAATTTATAGATCTATCAATGTTACCTGGATATACTTTTCCATTTCTTGATGGTTTCTACTAGTTGTGTTGCATTCTCGCAGCATTTTTCAAAAATAAAAGTAAAACAAATACTAAACTGTTTTGAAAATTATGTGCAGGTCTGTTGCATCTGTCTGGCAAAATACGCTAACAATGATGAACTGAGAGAGTTGCCATGTTCTCACTTTTTCCACAAAGACTGTGTAGATAAATGGTTGAAGATAAACGCCCTGTGCCCGCTTTGCAAAAACGAGGTTGGTGAGAGTAACACTGGCTCTCTGGAGGGGGAAAATACACAACATCAGGGTGAGTAATGAGGCCAGCGACTCGACTATTGCACCGTGTTGTATGCACGAAGAATTGGAAGGTTCATTCTTCATCGATGCAAGTGTAGTATGTACAAGCTCATCCTTCTCAAGCCGTTTTACCTTTATTTTTGGGTTCAGGTGAGAAAGTATGCGGCATTCATTAGCCTTCAACAAGTTCCTTCTAGTAAACCCGTCCATTGTCGATATACGCAGTTGGTTTTATGGTGCACGGTAGACGTTTATGAGTGGAGATCATTATGTGATTTCTCGTTACTATAGGAACTGAAAATTTCAGATGTTGCAAGGTGTTTATACTTGTATAATCACACTCCTTGCTCTTGTATTGCCCTCTTCAATTTTGTGGTATAATGGCTATGATAATGAATAATTAGTAGAGCATACTGTGTAAGCCTATAACATGTGTTTTCCATTTTCAAGTTCATTCATTCCCTTTGAGCTCTGAGTGCCATAAACATTGCCACCAAAGAATCAACCAATTATGTACATGCTACCAAAGAATCAACCAATTATGTAAAACGAGGGGAAGGAAGCTAACACATTTAAAAAATTGTTACAGCCACTGCCATTTAACTTTTGAGAACATGCTGCTATTACCAACCATAGAATCAACCAATTATGTACATGCTACATCTTGACTAATCTCATGAAACACGACTTCAACGGACAATGACTAAAAACTAATCTTGTGAAACACGACTTGAACGGACAATGACTAAAAACATACGACCGAACCTTGTTAATAACTTAGAAAATAGAATTAAGGACTAATCTCATGAAACACGACTTCAACGGACAATGACTAAAAACTAATCTTGTGAAACACGACTTGAACGGACAATGACTAAAAACATACGACTGAACCTTGTTAATAACTTAGAAAATAGAATTAAGAACACATACCCATGGGCGTTAACGTCTCCTTTGGACGGTATCCTTGCAATGCATTTGGGAATCTGCCACCCTTCGTTTGATTACGACCTTCTTGAATTTCCAGGCCACCTATACTCGTCTCCTTAAAACTCGAGAACACATTCTAGTAAGGCCCTGGCAAATCTTCCATGGTTGCCACTTTGCCAGTCCAGACAGAAGACTAAACAAAATGTGCATGTCTTCTGCACTCGGGGAACACCTCATTTGTGACCTGGCCATGCGATGTGTGTAACTGGGGATTGGCCCTTGATCGACCATAAATCTCATTTTTTGCTGCGCTTTCTCGATACCTGAATTCACCAAACATTTTTCTCAATGGAAGAAATCTTAATATTGTTAATTGGGCAAACATAGAGAAACACTAAAAGAAACATATGCCATCAACCAAGAATGCGAAGACTAAGATAGTTCTTATATACATTCAGACCTCACAACATAAAAAATAACTCTCATCTTAAACTCTGAATCAAAAGGGCTTCTGAAGTTAAGTAGCTACTCAATAAAATACTGTCGTAACGATAACTGGGAAAGTAATAGAACAACCAAAATATGCAGAGAAAAAAGAAAATGATGAGTGGTAAAATGACATATTTATTTCTCATCGAAATTTCTTTTAGTTCAACATGTAAGGGTGGAGATTCGAACCTCTGACCTTTTAGCACCATCGGTTGAGTTAGCTTAGGTTATTTCTCAGAGATCTTAGAGGAAAGAACATCATAAATCCAGTGTAAGACCACTAAGACTGATGGGCAATAAATGTAGCTTACAGCTCTTCCCTAATGGCAGTGTACATATCTAACTTCTCCTAAGACTCAACGAAGCGTGATTTAACTTCTGCTTGTACATATCCTGCAGCAGTCGTTCCATCAAATTAAAATCACGCTTTCTTACTAAGGCATGTATAAGAATATTATAAGTTTTTTGGTCCAGTGATAATCCAGCTTTTCGAATATGCTCAAATATCTGGAAAGCGGTTCTAATAAACCCATTTCTGCAAAGCTTGTCAAGGAGAATATTGAAAGTGACACTTGAGGGAGCAGGGCCGTAACATACCATGAATTCCAGTAATCTCAAGGATTCCGAAAATCTCCCCATCGTAGACAAGTAATGAACCAAACAAGTCAAGCTTATTACATCTGGCTCGACACCTCTATATTCCATGTAATGCAAAACCCTCTGAATTAGAACAAAATCCCCTTGCTTGCATGCGGCAGAGAGAACAGTATTGAATGAAACTACGTCTGGTCCGCTCTTGGGCCACTCGAAATATTCGAAGAGCTTCAAAGCATATTCAACTTTATAGTATTTACAAAAGCCCCTTAAAATTGTATTATATGACACAATAGTAGGAACAATACCTCCTCCTGCCATCCTATTCAACAGTGATAATGCTTCTCTTGACCTACTATTTTGACACAAGCAATGGAAGTAAATATTGTATACAACAATGTCAACGGTACAGTTCTTTGAAAACACATAACACAATAACTCGTAAGCAATCTGTGACTTTCCTACTTTCATTATCCCTCCAGACAAAGCAGAATATGTATATGCATCAGGAGAAAACCCTCTGTTATGAATCACCTGCAAAAGCTCAGCAACATCGTATGCTCTATCGTGAAGGCAAAGTGCACGGATTATTACATTATAAGTTACCAAGTCTGGATCACATCCCTCCCTCTCCATGAATTTCAAGATTTCAAATGCTTCACCAATCCTCCCATCATCACAAAGAAACTTAACAATAACTGTGTAAGTAATGACATTGGGCTTAAATCCATCACTTCTCATTTGATCCAAACAACGATAAAGATCAACCCACAAACATTCCCTTCCAAATCCATAAAGCAAAGCAGTATATGAACATACATTATGGGTCATGCCTTTCTTTTTCATCATATAGAACAACTGCAAAGCTAGAAAACTCTTCCCACTCTTACACAAAGCCCAAATAATGGGGTTAAAAACATATGCTTGAAAAGTCAGATTCTTGGATAGAAGTGCAGCACAGAATCTGGATGCCTCTTCCAACATTTTGGATTTACAAAGCAGACAAATAAACATGGCTAAAGTGGGTTCAGTTGGCAAATGGTCTAACCTCAACATGAACTCGAATATCCAAATAGAATCAACTAAATTACCTGACTTAAGTGACTTTTTAAGCCATTTGGACAAGAATGTGAAAGATGGATTTATCCCACTTTTAGTCATCTCTTCCACAAAGAAATATGCGTCTCTCAGAAAACCCAATGACAGAAGTCCATTAAGAAGTATGTTGAAAGTCGTTTTGTTAGGGGCTGGGCCGAACCTCTTCATTCCTATATACACTTGGACCAACTGTTCCAGCAAAACATTTTCAGAACTCAAATATCTACAAAAGAGAGCATTGTAATCGTAAACAGAGGGCTTCCCAGTAATACTTCTCATAAAATTCAAAGTTTCAAGAGCTTCAGCGAGATCACCAGAAGCCGCACGGTCCTGCATTCTAGACTGTAATTGGAGGTAATTCCAGTTGTGGGTGTTGCTCTCTTCGATGATATTTACACTGCTGATAGCACAGGAGGTCGAATAATTCACCAAAAAGCAAAAACTCCGCCCAAGTCGGTATGGATAATTAATGGTTGGAATTGTGCAAAAACGCATGGCAGGTTGAAATGGGAGTCTGAGCTTTGAACTCCAATGGCGGCAAGAGAGGACGGAAGAATGCAGGGGCGAAGCATTCGCGTTTTAGGGGCAAAAGCCCCTCTACTCGTTTCAAATTTGAGAGCGTAGACGGGAAGAAGTTTCTACAGAACTGTGGCGGCGTAGACGGCAAATACGGCGGAGAAGAGAGCGAAGGCGACGGCGGCGAACGGGAGACTGCAGAGAGGAGAATGAGGAAGGGCGTTCCCCGTGTGTGTGTGGCCCCCTGGGGCGAACGAGCAAAATTTTTTATTTTATTTTTTCCTTTTCCTTCTTTCTTTATTTTTTTCCCTTTGTGTATTTTTTTTTCCTTAAAAGTTATTCCGAGTATTTGGTAATCTTAAAAACATATGTTTTAACTGTTAAAATAATTTCACAAATTTACTACGGAAATAGTTTTGTAATTTCTCTCTCTTCCACTTGTAGATGAAAATTATCATTCTAAAAAAAAACTCTCTCACGAGGGGGTGATCGTGAGAGCAAGCCAAGAAAGAGAACAGCGGGAGCAATGGCGCTTCTCCATTCCTCTTTATCTGTTTCTACTCCCACCAACGCTTCTCTTGCAAATCTACCCTTCTTCAGGTTCTATCTCTTTAATTTTTGATTCTCTTGTACTCACTAATTGACTCTTATCCATTGAAACTTGTTCATAATCTATTCCAACTCGCAGAAAGCGACCCACAAGCTTGCTCTGTCATAAAAAAATTGAAATGTACAAGAAATTCAATCTCTGTTCAAGTTCTAGCTCAAAACCCACCTCAGAAAATGGACTTTGCAGGAGGGATTTGATTCTATTTGGGCTTTCTTCTTCATTTGTTCTGACATTTCCATCTTCGGGTCAGTTTTTCTTGCTGTGAGCTACTTATTTCTGCTTCTCGTTCGTTAGGAAATGCCACCATAGGTTTAATCTATGAAGTTTGTAATGGAGTAGCTTAAGCTACGAGATGGGAGGGGCTTCTTTTTCTTTTTAAGCCCTTAAATATTTTTGCTGTGAATGATGAAGGTCAGCCTTTATATTCAGGTTCGCTTGCAGAGGAAGAGTTGAAAGTTGCTACAATGGCTGACCAAATAAATGCTTATTCTTATAGTTATCCGGTGGAATTGCCATCTACTAATTTCGCCTTCAAATGGTAGAGATTTATATTTCCTTACAACAAAGTTTTTATTAAGTAAGTGAAAATACAGATTGTTCTGAAGCATATGAATGCTATATTTGACCCTACAAGAATCTGTTGACTCGGAAAATGTGACCTGAATCTGTCAATTGAGTAGGTATTAATTTATTTTTGGATGGGCAAAACATCTGTCAATTGAGTATGTATTAATTTATTTCTAGAACAGATGTTTCAGGCAGTCAAATACAGGTTTTTAAAGGTTTTTCACTTGGAATGAGACTTTTAAGTGCAAGCCTAGACCAAGAATGAGTCTTCTTTGTTGCTGAGCATGTGTCTGTGATCTAAATTTGAAAGATTAGCATTGAATTTAGAGTGCCGTTATCTATGAAGGAGGAAATTTAAGTTCACTAGCAATCTATAGCCATTTATAACTAATGAAATGAAGATCTAAGTTTTTTTCTTTCTTTCTTTGAGTGCTGCTGACCTTTGGGTTTCACTTTTCTTGTCCTATTGAATTCTTTTTGACATTTACTTGTACCTTTTTTTTTCCTCCTCATTATTGTCTCATGTCCTTAAATTGTATTGTACCCAATTCTTTCTATCTTTTCAAGGGTGGAATCAAGAAAACCAGAACGCTATTCTTCTGCTGCTCCGTTGTCTCGTAAGTTTTAACTTATGTTGCACCACCCTAGAATTGAAACATAATTTGTTCTTTGAGCTGTTTGAAATGCAAGCAACTTTTGAAAATTTGTTCTGCACGATAAAAGAATGATGAAACTCTACTGTTTGGTTTTTATTTTTGCCAAATGTTTTAAGTCATCAAAGGATCATTGGGAGAGCTTCTTTTCGATTTCGAATTATTTAGCAAAATGGATCCTGGAATGCAGATTTTTTTAATATTAACTTCGTGCTGTTTTCACATGTCATAGCTGATGCACGATTGAGGATTGTCTCCGAGAGAGTTGATTTCATTGACAACCTTGTCATTTCGGTTACGGTAATTTATTATTCAATTGAACAATTATTTTCTTTTCTCTCTTTAGGTTGATAGTTTTTATCGGCTTTTTTGTTTCAGATAGGCCCTCCAAATTCCATGTTCATAAAATCAAAGGACAAGAGTACTTGGTCAGCAAAAGATGTTGCAGACTCTGTTTTATCCGACAAATCCGCATTGGTAATTGCTTTCATGCTTTTTACCCGAAAAATCTTTGGACCGAGATGCTGTTCATGGTGACTTTCCTCTAGATTATTTGAAGCAATCTCAGTTTTTTCCAAGATAAAAATTCCTTTTTCACTAGATGGAATTAACAGGACATAAAGCCTGAGGAACAGGTTTATGCAGGCATGTAGAAGATGCCTTGGAAAAATGCTAAACTTTTCCTTCTAAAGTTCATTAAAATCCATGTTCTAAATGGTAAATTTGAAGTCGGATTTTTCGTTTATCTTGCAGCGGGTCACTTCAAGTCAGCGCCTGGCTGAGAGTTCAGTTCTTGATACTCATTCTAGTAATGTAAGTAAGCTACACAGTCCTATTATTAGTTCTTGATACTCATTATTTGTAGGGTGCAAATCTTTCTCTATATGGCATGCTTTTGTATGTATCTATGGAGGACTTCTAATAGTTCATTCTCAGATTGATGGTGAGCCATACTGGTATTATGAATACCTTGTTCGAAAGTCGCCAACAAAAATCGTACGTCTCGACTTCTTTATTTCCATCTTCCCCTGAGAAGACATTTCAAGTATTTGATTTTTGAGGAATTAAATGAATCCTGCAGGTTGGAGAATCCAACATTTACAGGCATTATGTTGCATCAACAGCCGAACGAGACGGTAAGCTGTCGATTTTTCAGTCTGCATTCATTGTCATAGAAATTGTGGATGACTATTACAATTTATTTTTTGATACCACTAGGGTATAGGGTGTTGATTCCTTGCATTATGCTTATTGCCAACCCCTAGGTGCGATCCAAAAGACAACAAAAGTTTTTAAGTCTATGTTTTGTTGGTGATCCGAAAACAGAGGATCGCGTTTTCAATGTTTTCGAATATGTGTTTGGTATCAGGTTTAGAAATTGAATTCCAATTTTAAAAACAGTTCAAATATGTGTTTAGTAATGTATTTATAAACTAGTGATAGTTATCAACTAAATAATTAGCTCAATCTAAAATATTATTATTTAATTTATTAACATATATATTATAAATTTTGTATAATTATCCTTATACAATATTATATAATTTATAATATGATGTGTTTTACGTGTTTTAGTTTTAAAAAAAATGGAATGAGTTACAACTTGAAATAGTACATTTATCAAGTTTTTATTATGTAATTTTTCATATTAATGTTTCAAATTTAAATCTGAAAACACTAATAAAAGTATTATTTTTAGAATTTTCACTGTTTCAATCACAAAATTCAAAAACAGTTTTCAAATACTAATGTGTCAGATATCCATTGAATCTATTTGATTCAAGTGAATTTGAAAATAAGAAACAGAATTCAGATTGCACATCAAACAAGTCCTAGATTTAGGAGTTTGAATCCAAAATCTTGGAGGATATATCGGGCATCATTCCTTGCATCATGCATATGACCCACTCTCTAGAAGCTTCACCCACCCTAAGATTCGCTACGAGAGAGAGACAACAGAAGTTTCAAGTCATTAAGTTTTCAACATAAAAACTTAAACCGAACCTACGATCTTGGAAGGTATATCTAAACATCCCAAGTTATGACCAATGAAGCAAAGGAGTGAGTATATTACAACTGGAAAATGGGAAAGAAGAAAAAATAAGCGATACCTCTAATATTGGTGATTTTGTCTTGGCTCATCCAAGTTTTAGTAGGTAGCTGAGAAAAGTTGTATAAGAAGTTATTTGTTTGTTCAACTGGATGTTGGTCTTAAGTTTCAATGAAAAACGAGGCTACCAATAATTCTTCAATTTGCAGGTTTTCTGTATTCTATTAGTGCTTCGACCCTCGGCGCGCAATGGAACGCAGTAAGCTCTCCTGCTCTCTATATGGAATTTTATGATGTTTCTTATGTAGAATTCAGTGCCTAATTACCCACAAAATGTCTCTTTACGGGCAGATGGGACCTTTCCTGCAGAAAATCGTAGAGTCGTTTCGCCTTCTTCCTCCGACCGAGGACTATGTTCCTCCATACAAGGATCCATGGAGATTTTGGTGACATTTTGTATATTGTAGCCCTGCATTTTCTGGCAATTTTGTATCCTATTCTTTTGTGATATGATTTTACCAATGAGTTCTAGTTCTAGTGTATTTTTCGAGATCTAGGCTTAGCTAAGTGAGAGGATTTTCTGGGTCAACTTCTATGCGAAATTTGGAGAAAGTAGATCTCTACCTTATTTATGTTCAAAATTTCCCTCTACGATCAAACTGTGTTGTGAATTTAATTGCCATCACTATTGTATAAAACTGCAAAAAGTATGCCAATGATGCAGAATAAACAGAAGTTTCATTAAATGACACTCCAAACTGGATAGCTTTTTAGTGCTCTTCTGCACTCTTTGCATCCATTCTTAACCATATTCTTTTATTCTTCATGGCTCCCATCTTTCTTAGAAACACATCATCAAATTGTGAATAACGATTTGAATTAAGCAAACTCACATCTTGACAGACATGTATATTTCACTGAAGAATCTTGACACTGTCGTAAAGAGAGACTGAACGTTACCAAATGTGACACAACATGATTGTCAAGGTCAGGATATTTTCGGGATGCCCCTAACAACCAATGAACGGAAGGTACTTTTTCTAACATGAATCCCATTTCAATAACTTCATGGGTTGATCCACCTATTGCTTGACGTAAAATAGAGAGTAGATTTGTTGCCTTTTGTTGAATCTTTTTCATGGCTAGCAGGGCCAATTTCTTGTACAAACTCAGTGTGCCCCATTTCATCAAGTGCCTACCCGATTCACTGAGCTGTTGGCCTACCGAGCAGTTTGAGAGATTGAAAACTTATTT